CTCATGATCCTTCTGCCTCAGAGGCTTCCTGAGCACTGAGATTACAGGTGTGTGCCACCATGCCCAGTGACTGCTAAACACATTCTATGCAAAGCAGTGTCATCACCATATGGGGATGTTTGATGGCTCTAATGACAAATAGGTAGGTAAAGTCCCAGCTGACAAGTACACACAAGAAGTGATAGGTTGGTGGAGGAGGGGCTGCTGAGCTAGGAAGGTGGGAGTGACCTAGGAAGGTCACAAGAGAACCGTCCAGTAGAACAGAGACAGATGCAGAAGATAAGGCTGACATTGGTTGAGGGACAACAAAGAAATTCCCACAGAGAAAGAACTCAAGAGCAAACACTGAGAGTGGAGCAGTGCACACTTGAGGGTTCTAGAGTGGACAGGACAGGTGCTGGGGAGGGGGAGCATAAGGCCATCAGCGAGGGACTTGGGAATTCTGGTCAGGAGCATGACTTAACATCAACTTAGGGCAAAGTTACTTGTGGGTTTTAAGTGAAAGGATGGCACAGTCTGAGTCCTGTTCCAAGGGCCACCTTGTTTACATGTGGCTGACTATGGAGTCAGAGAAGCCATGAGAGAGCTGGGGCTGGGGCTGGCTGGGCAGTTGGTGTGGGAGGATGAGATCAAGAGATAGGATGTGAGCAGAGCTGGGAGGAGACTTCAGTTCTTATTGATGTCCAATAGGACTTCAAGGAAGGTTGAATGTGGTTGCGGACAAAGGAGAAGAAGCAAGGCATAACTGGATCTTGTACCTGAGTTTCGGAGGCAATGAGACAATTCCATGAGGTGGTGGTAGATGTACTTACATGGAGAGGTCAAAGGGCAATGTTTTCATACTAGCACTCAATGAGACGCTATCATGGGTCAGGTTCTTTCTAGGTAACTGGGGATCCAGAATGATCAAAACACAGGCTTGTTACCAAGCTTTTAATTGAACTTGGGGGAGGAAGACAATGAAATCATACTTCCTCCCTGCTTGAAAAATATGATTGTGAGAACTTTAGGTGAACCTGGGATTGTGGCCATGTGACCAGATAGAGAGGGATATATATGGAATATAAAGGTCCATTGAAGGACTCTAAGAGGGAGTGTCCAAGAAGGTGGTGAAAGTTAGGAGGGTGGGGATAAAGAGAAGTGCCCGGGTGAGGAATGGTTACTCCTGCTAAGAGCTCACTAGAGAGGGTCAAAGGAGATCAATATGGGGAAAGAGCCTTAGGCTTTGCAAAGATGCATCACTTGGGTCAGCTGGTGAGTGGATGGTGAAGGCAAAAGCAATGTATTGTTCTACATCTCATCCCATTCCACACTCCGTCCCAACCAACCTGCCTTATCCTAGTGAGTCCCATTGTCCCTGCTCTATCATACATTGTCATGACCCTCCCCTCTCTAACACTTCTCTCTTTCTCTATTCGTTTCATGCTCCCATCTCCTTCCACTCTTCCCTACCTGGAGCTCAGTCCAAGGGAACACAGAGAATATTTTCTGTAAATGCATGTGAAAGCTGAAGCCTTTGTTCCTGAGCACCATCTTGGTGGCCGGGAAACATCTTTGTCGAAATCTCCTGGGACACAGAATGGTGAACCCTCGGGGTCCTGTCAATTCTGGATTTCCTGCCACTCTAACATTTTTTCTTTTGCAGTAGTCTCTGTTTGCCTACTTAGCAATGCTTGTCCTTCACAGCTCATGAGTAATTACCAAGTTATTGACTCTAATTTTCATTTGTCTAGCACGCTTGTTAATGTCTATTTAAGATGTCCATTAAAGGCCTATGAGGTTAATTAAATGGACAATTCCAATACAGTTCTATTAGAACCCCTTCTATTAAATTAATATTATAGACATTTAACAGATGTCTTAATGAGGCATTATAGATAAGAAATGCAAACTAAATTAATACAAAAGCCATTGTCCAGGAAGTGAGCCTTTTATTACAGTTGATGTATTTGGGGAAGAATCTTCATGTTTATTTATTCAGAATCTGAGAGCCCAGTCATTGGATGATCCCTTTCAGCATCTAGAAAAGGCTGGCCCAAGAATCTATGGTCAAATCAGATGACAGGGCTGAGAGACTTAGATGCCATCTGGAATGTACCATCTTCAAATACTGGTGACTGGAGGAAGCAGGTAGGGTTACACAAACACATAGACATGTGAGTTCCACTCCTGGGACCAGACTCAGTATGGCTGAAGTTCAGCATAGAACAGCTGCTGCAGACATGTGCCTGCTTATGCTGCTGCAGGAATCCCAGCAGCCTCATCTAGGAGGCCTTCATGCAGTCAAGTTGTCTCACTTGACAGATGGTAGCTTGGAGACCCTGAAAGATTTCAGGTGTTGATGAAAAGATCAGAATTTTGTAACCTGCTCCATAGTTTAGAAAGTTACTAGAAGTTCCTGACATCTCTTTCTTACCACTACATAGCTGGGTGCAACCTGAGGCATCACCATTGAGACTAGTGGCCACATGTCCCCTTCCCATTTCTCCTCCCCTAGATAGACCTTCCCAAGCCTTGCTCTGATTTCCTGGGTTCTTCAGGTTTCTGGCCTTGGTGTGATTTAATTCTTCATATTCCACAGCTTCCCTCAGGGGCCAACTCTGCCCATCTCCCATGTTGGACTTTTTGTCCCTGTGATAAGATCCCTGACACAAGTGACATGAGGAAGGCATTATTTTGCTACAGCGTCAGCCATTATGGCAGGGAAGGCACAGTGGGACAGGACACGTGACAGAGAAGTGGAGAGCAAGGATGCCTGTGTCGTAGCAAGCTTCCTTCTATTGTTTCCAGCTCCGGACCCTAGGGAATGAAACTTCCCATGTATAGGGTGGATCTTCTACCTCAGTTAATCCTCTCTGGAAGCCTCAGAAACACACCAAGAAGTGCCCTTTTCAAAGCATTTCCCAATCCAGCTGTGTAGACATTAACCCTCCCCTCCCTCTACACATTTCCTTCCTGGCTCTGCTGGCTCCAGTGGAACAAGGAGGGAGGAGTTTGGCTGCTGACAACTCCGGGACTCTGGATACTGTGCGTGCACTTTAAGTCAAAGCCCATGAAATTCAGGAAAATGTGAGCTCGTAGCCTAGCAGTTAGGCTGAGCTGCTTGGTGTCCCAAGCATAGCATACAGCAAAGAAACAGCAGAGAAACACAGGCCATTGTATGTGATGGGGTCCAGACTGGACATTGTCACCGTCCTGTGAAGCATAGCTAACTTTTCTAGTTAGGAACATTTCACAGTCGTTACTAACTACCCTCAATTCCTGTGTTGAAGGTCTAACCTCCAACACGACTGTTTGGAGATAGGATCTTTATGAGGACGAAGGATAAACGGGTCATAGATGAGATGCTATCATCTCATCTCATCACAGAATCGTAAGAGGCACACTAGAGCTCCCCTCTTGAGGACAGACCATATGCACAGAGAGCTGGCTGTTGACCAGTCAGGAGGAAGCCTTGGCAGAAACCAATTTCGACAGCAGTCTGAGCCCTTTCTTGAGATGCCAACTGTTTTTCCCATTGGCTTCTATGGCACTCTGCATGGGGCTCATGTTTCTGTAGTGCATGGTTTACATTCAACAGAGTTGGTTGTCATGTGACTCTCTACACCCCAAATCTCATTTCTACCACAGTCCTATTCCTTGGAGACAGTCACAAGTGCCAGTACCATACCCTTCTCCATGAAGTTGTGGGGACTTGGATAGTCATGCTCCATGTAATACCAAGTGCAGTTTCCTCAGGACCAGTATCTGGGAGGATGCTGGGGACCTTGGTCCCCTGGGGAGGTCAGGGAGACAACAGCAGCACATCCCAGCCAAGGGGAAGAGCAGAGACTCTATGGCAGGTAAGGGAGAATGTCCTTAGTGAGTCAATAGACACTTGATTGGGGCCAGCAGTAACATGCTTCACTTGGCAAGTGGCACCAGCAGCTTTTCTGGGAAGCAACTGTGTTTATGCAACATAGTGCGCCCCTTACATCACAGAGGGTGGGGCTGGACAGGTCTGCTCTGAAGGTGCAGCACCTGCGCACTTTGAGCCAGCTAGAACAGCAGTCACTCTACAGAGAAGAGTTCCTTGGTAGAGCGCTGGGTAAATAAGGAACACACACACACTCTTAGCTGTCTCTCTCACCCCCGTGGCTGTCCTCCTGGGAAGAACATGACTCTGCAGCCAGCTCTTCTGGTTCAGATCTTAGCCTTTCTTTACCAGTCCATAAGACTTCGGACAATGATCATTTTCAGGCTGAGAGGTCATGTGTGCCCTGAACTTGGGTGGCAAGGACTGTGATAACACGGGGGTCAGGTGGGACAGGACAGTGCCATGAGGAATGTCTAGATGATGTTGACAGAACCAGGGCCTAGATAATCTCTGGGACTTGGGCTTGCACTTTGGTTTCTGGAAGGGAGAAAGCTGTTTTTCTGTCATATAAAGATCATCAGGCTCACTCATTCCTCTTCCATCCAGTGCAGTCTGAGTGGGAGGCACCGAGCACTGACCCCCAGCACCACTGCTGACCTGGGGTGAGTGCTGGATGTGCCGTCACCTACTATTGCCAGGGCAGTTTCTGAGCCGGCCAGCAGTCACACACCTCTTACAAACAAGGGGCAACTGGCCCCTCTGAACCAGGTGTCAATGACAAGGCCTCCTCAATACCGGCACAGAGTAGCTGGATTCCAGCCATTTTTAATGCTGGTCTTGACCTGTAGTTTCAATGGCCATGTGCAGAAAGACCTCATCTGGTCTTACACAGTAGAAAGGTTACACATATAGCAGCTAAAATAGAACTAAGATGTCCAAATATATCATTATTAACTGAACTCATTTAGCACAGAATGTTCCAGAAACACAGGAAAGTATGAAAGACAGAACCCAATGGCCCCCTTCTTCAAATCACCTAAGGTTAGTCCTGGTGTATTTTCTGCTAGTCTTTCCTCCCTGGAGAGACAAATCTCTACCCCTGACTTCCTCCTTTGTTGTTCAATGTTCTTCAGCCACTTTTTTCCCCTGGAGTCAAGATGGGCCACAGCCAGAAAGTGTTTCATGGAAAAGTGGGTATTTAAGGTGTTTCCAGTTCTCAGCTGCCAGGGACATCTGTTGCCAGTGGCAAAGAGTTCACAGGTCAATTGTTCCCTTTATTTTGAACTTCTTGGCAGATCTCTCACTTGACCGAAGCTGCAAGCTGCTTCCATAAATGTAGGAAATGAAGCCATCAATTTCTATGGTGAACACACAATTTAGCTTGGGGATAACTGAATGGAAAAGAAGAAAGGAAAAAGGATGAGGAACAATATATACATTGTGTTCATGTTCATGGAGAGCATGATTCACGCACGTTTACATTTAAACTGTATTAAAATAGTCGGAGGCTGCTTGTTCATTTCCCGGCTGCCAAGACCCAAAATAATCACACAGAAACTATATTAATTGCAGCACTGCTTGGCCAATAGCTTAGGCTTCTTACTAATTAACTCTTACATCTTAAATTAACCCATTTCTATTAATCTATTAATTCTATTATTGCCATGAAGCTCGTGATTTACCGGTAAGGTTCTGGCATCTGTCTCCTTCGGCAGCTACACGACGTCTCTCTGACTCTGCCTTTTCTCCTCTATCTCTGCTTGGAATTCCTGTCTTGTTCTGTTTTGCTCTGTCATAGGCCCAAGTAGCTTCTTTATTCATTAACCAAGAAAAGCAACATATATACAGAATGACATGCTGTTTTGGTTCCTTCTGCCTTTTAGTTATTCATTTGAGAGGTGGTGACCTTAGCAAATAGAAACCTCAAACAGATGAGTGCCAAAGACCAAGATAAGCAGTTCTTCTGTCCTGTTTATGGACAGGCTAATGACTGTGTTCATGATGTCTCTTGGTAGCCATAGGGGCAGGGGCCTCTCTCTGCAGTGCATAACATAGCAAGAACCTGCAGACTCTGACTCCATAGTCAAGTAGAACCTGAAAGCCTCAAGGAAAGGATAAGGCGCTCCTCCCCCCTCCTCTCATACCCTAGGGACACAGCACACACCTTTCAGTCGGTCTTCTTTGGTGATGATCTTGAAGACATGCTTGGTCTCCTGCAGGAGGATTCCTGTGACCCCCACATAGGAAGGGCACTTGGATTTCGTCACTGCAAAGGAGAAAAGCAGATGAGGGTAAGGCCTGGGTAGTGCCAGCAGTCACAGCTTGGCCTCAGGGACTAGGACCTGGCCCTTCTAAGCTGAGGAAGAGAAGGCCCAGAGGATAGTGGCTCTGTAGCTGGGCAATGACCAAGCCAGCAAGAGCCCAGGATTCCTAACTCTTTATCCTGGGCTTTGCAATCTCTGGGCTGTTCTCAGGTATCCTTTGGGTTTTATGCAGGGTTCTGGAGCCAAAAGGCCATGCACAGAAAGAACTAAGCCCAGTCGTGTTGCTTTGATGGAGCAAGTGCCATGGGCAGGACATCCATCATTCACTTTTGACTCTCCTGAACATTTCCTTGAATGCAGTCCTCCTATAGAGCTGCCCAGAAGTGACAGGTGAGTCCCCTCACTGGCAGGGCCCTGCCTCCTCCATGTAATCAGCATTTGGAACTAACTATGTGCTTAGTGTGCTAGGTCAGTGCTGGGACAGGACACTGAACGTGATGGCCTGTATCCTGCTCCTGTGTGCTGAAGCTCTCATGGAGGACAGTGATAGACAGCACAGACTATTCTATTTCTTGATACTGATAACGGCTATGAGAAAATAAGAACAGCACAATGGGAGTGGAGGGGAAACCTTAGTGGTGGTAGACTCTCAGGAAGGGACATCAGGAAAGGGACCTGAGTTACAGCAGGAGTCAATGCATGAACCTTCAGAGCCCCTCGTCAACAGAAGGACCCAAGCAAAGGCACCAGGTGTGCAAGTCACACAGAAGGCAGCCAAAGGACACCGTAGATTTTTACTCTGACTGGATGGGAAGCTGCTGGAGGCTTAGGACAGGCAAACGGCAGTCAGGAGTCTGATGTCCGATGACAGCCTTCATTCTGTGTATTTCTTCTGGTGTGTATGTAGGAATAAAACAGTATGTGAGCCGGGGGAGGGTGAGAGAAGCTTCCACAGCAGCTTGAGGGAGTTAGAGGTAGGTCAGACTCAGGAACTAGGTGTGTTAACCGACTTGAGGTGCAGGATTAGGAAAGAGGTAATGTGCATGTACTTCTAGGTCTCTAGCCTGAACAAACTGGATACGGAGATGTGTCAGAATCAGAGAGCTGACCCCAGGGGAGACTAAGGGCTGTGTTAGGTACTTTGAGGCCCCTCCTGGCTGTCCAGGTAGCTGTTGGGTGCCATGGGGTGAATGAGTCTGGCAATCTTGGGAAAAGTCTGCACCGGTGATGGCACCCTGGAAACATGAAGAGGGGGAATCTGTCCCCCAGAGTCTGCACTAGAGGCGAGGTGACAACAGTATGAGCTGACGGCATGCAGACACCACTTAGTGTGTGTTTAACAAGTCCCAGCATGGGTCAGGTCACAACCACCTTAGATCTCACTGCTTGTAACTTAAGAGAAACCTCAGGATGCCAAGTGACAGATGCCAGGCTGAGTACTGCCACTGAGTAACAGTCTCCAGATGACCACATGCTCTCACAGAAATTACCTGAAATAATAGCACCGTGAAGATCCGCCTTCAGGAGCTTCGCTTGAATCATCTGCGGCTGCCTAGGAGGTCAAGAGAGCCCACAAAGAAAAGCTGGTAACAAAGCAAACAGGATCACAAACGCCCACAGCCAGCTGGTTTCCCAGGCTGTGTCTCTAGTGCACGTAAGACTTGGGATCTAATCCCATGGCAGGCGTCAGAAATAAAACTCACATGTCTGGCTTGAGCCCATTGCACAGGTCACGGATGTACTGCTTCCAGAGTTCATGCAGAGGGAGGAAGAGACTGTATCTGTCAAGTCAGAAACACGAGCTTGGGATTTCCAGTGTTTGGCAAACCAGAGCTGGGCTCAAGGCCGAGAGTAAGC